GACCTATGGGTAATAATCGACCATAAATTAACAGTTGGTGAACATATTTCACAAAAAGTTTCGGAATCTTTGAGAGCTTATGGTTCCATTGTTAGAAATTGCAGAAACTTTTATAGTATTAAAGCTACGAAGCTGTTGTATTTCACCTACGTATGTTCAAAGATAGAAAATGTAAGTAACGTCTGGAGTCCATTCTATGAGATTCATAATACAGAGACATAGTTAATATTAGTTCATTTGTTTTCAAAGCTTTCTTGGTTTGGTATTGCTTCGAATGATTTACATTTCAAATATTTCTCAAAATCGGATATATCTTGCTTAACTGAAATTACAACATCCTCATGGTAATGGTAATGTAATACCTGATACCCCATAACCATGGTGGAATTCTTAAACTTCTGTCTGGTTGGTCCTTCCATTTCAAACCTACTTCAACATCCTTTCGGAATGTGTTTTCGCTCTTGGAATAATGTGTTCTAGATCTGTCAAACACTGTACTTCTTTTTTTTGACATTTTCAATGAGATTACTTCAATAATCTTTCGTTTCTCAAGATGCATCTGAATCATCCTTTGAGAAACTATAAATATCTTTGAAAGTTTCACCAAAGTATATAATTGTTCCAAATTATTCCAAACTGTTCCAGATTATCCCAAATTCTTAATGAGCTAGAAAAAATAAACTCACTCATCTAGTCAATCGTCTTTGAAATGTTTTTTCAGAAAAAAGATTATTCAGTAGTTTGTAAGCACAATTTTGAATGCTATTACTGTATAGGTGTGTCAAGGAACTGTGATATCAAATAATCAATCAATACGCTTCATTGTCATAAGAAACAAGTCACATTGACAAAGTCATTGTAGAATATAAAACAAAAGAAGTATCACAGAATGAAATGGACTTATAAACGCAACTATATAAAATGGATAAAAACAGCAATATTCAGATACAAAAGCAATTCAGATCCTCAAATAGTTCGTCATGAAATTCCTCAGTGTAAGAAAAACATAGTCTAAAAGTAGCTCCTTCAAGGCATTTCTGAAATTAGTGAATACAGATAAGAAAAGAACATTATTGGCAAGTGAATGAACATTTTTTGGTGTTTCATATTAAAGACTTTTCATCATTTAGCAATTTTTCAGAAGAAAGCATTCTAGTTCACATCTTTCTTCTGTGTTTGATTGTTCCCCTTCAAAATTCATGTTCTTCCGGAGAATACGATTATACTTGATCAAATATTTGTTCAATAACGATGCCTTGCTATACGATGAATAAACAACACTACCTGAATTTTCAAGGAATGCTTTGATTACTCATTTGACCTAAGACTAGATTTACTCCAATAACCTTCTTCAACAACCAAAACTCATTTAGATGTCCGTTATCTTCACTCGCTGATGTAATGAGATGTAATTAATATATGAAATAAATAATTGCTATGACACGAATACGAATTTACCGTATACTAGTAGTTATCTTGTTGTTTTCCTACCACGAACCACAATGTATCAGTTCAATGGCTAATTGAATGTTGCATACGTTTTTTGGATGTAATTATGTTTTAGTAATTCAATTTAATTCAAAATATACTTTATTGTCCATAGAATAAATTCTTATTTACAAAGGCTTGTGCGAAATATAAATAACATATAAATGGAACCACAAAATTATCACAAAAGTAAAATCACTGAAAGTAAGGGATAACATGAACTGAAAAGAGACATGTAAATAACATAACCTAAAACAAATGTTCAGTAAACCGAATGACGGAGCGGTCATATAAATGAAAGAAGAAGAAGCTAACTTCAGGGTGTCTGTCGGTTTTTCTTGACATCATGTTTCCCTAACACTTCTAAAGAAATTTATACTTCTTTGTCAACATAACATATTCAATGTCCAATTTTGATATTTCAAATATGAAAAAGAAGGTATGAATTGAGACAATAAAAGTGATTTTCGACAGTTTCTATCTGATCTTTGACCAATTAATTTTTCTTAATGAAAAGGTTCCTTTCCATAAATCTAAAATAAATAAAATGGTGCCGTTTCAATTATTATTATTCTCAATTCTCAAGTGATTTTTGCAATTTTAGTTTTCTAGTGGGGAAAAGTGGGGAAAAGAAACATCAAACTCATAAAACAAGTCAATAAAGGAAACCGTATGGACATCTTGGAAAACCTAAACATCCATAAATTCAAAAGTCATAATTCACTTATCGTGGAACAAATACAAATCAAAACACAACAAGACCTAACATTCAATATACTACACAATAGAATACACATTCCTAGAAACAGTATTAGTAAATTATACTGGAAACTGATGCCTTTCTCAATTGATTCTGTTGTATTGTGTACTCCAACTCAAAGGATATTACCTGATGTAACTCAAATACAAGCAAATTTAAAGAGACATCCGGATGACAGGACAGGACCAATATTTGAACTAAGGCGTTCTAACCGTAAAAAAAACAAACAAGAAGATAAAACGTTCAGTTTGAGTGAAGCTTTGAAGATGATAGCACAGCCTGCTATCGAAAGCGCTCGCATATAATAAGTAGAAGTTATTAAAGCTTCAAATCCTTTTAAATTACTGAACCACTCTAGTGGTTCACAAATATTATCGAAAATTACTATCAAATTGAATGAAACAAATTTATTTTCGTGTATGAACATACACACTGGCCGAGTGTGAATAGGTGTGAGCCACAATAAACCCTTGTGGGTTGCGGTGAAGGGTCGAATAGACCCACTCACTTCAGACCTACCTACCTATACACTGAATCAACGTTGTATTACAAATTTATCACCAACTTCAAGTATAAATTCATCTTCTGAGTAGAAACCTTTTTCTGATAGAAACACTTTCAACTGTTTTTTTTAAACTTGAGGTGGCAGTGTCTTCATATCGCATGGCAGTAGATTGAACAGACGGATACCAGCAAACATAGGAGACTTTTTATACTTTGCGTTATGGTGTTTTTGGGTGATGAGCATATGGTTATTCCTAGTATGATAATTATGGACTTCCGATCTCGACTCTAGTTGTCTTCTATTTTCATGGATATACGTCAATGTTTTTAGAATGAACAAACAGGCAACAGTTAGTATTTTATTTTGACGAAAGATCTCCTTACATGACGTTCTGTAATCTAGATTGAAAATCAGCCTCAATAATGCTTTCTGTTTTATGAAAATTCTGTCCACCTCAGTTGCTGAACCCCAGACAGCAATGTTGTTGTAAATAATAGATTGAAACTTAGCGAAATAAACTGATATCAGTGCCTTAGTATCCAATTTATTCTTAAGGGATATAATTTCTTGGATATGAACTCTATATGTTCTTGCCAAGTGAAATGTGAGTCCATTATTGTTCCTGAAAATTTCTTTGAGCTTGTTAATACCAAGGATTCATTCCGGAAAATGAAATTGAAATCATGTAGGCTTCGAGATGAATTTGCAAATTCCATGCAGAAAGTTTTTCTTAGGTTAACTATAAGTCTATTTCTGTAACACCAGTCATCAACTTCGTTTAGGACTGAGTTTACAAGTTTATGCATTTTTTCTGTTGTTTTACTTGAAAGAATAATGGAAGTGTCGTCTGCGTAAAGGTATATCACACCATCACTTATATTATTAGGTAGATCATTCACATATAATAAAAAAAATTGTGGTACGAGTACACTGCCTTGAGGTGTCCCATTTGTTACAAAGAATCTATCGGACATTGTATCATTTTGTTCCACCTGGAAATATCTATTTGTTAGGAAAGACATTATAAGCTGATTTGTTTCCTCGAATACCAATCTTAAATAACTTATCTAATTGGTTATAAATTGGTTAAATTACTTTTCATATGGAAAAACCACAACCAAAACAAATTGAACAGTTTTTATTGGTATGTGGCTTGAATACGTAGTGAAACAAATGAATTCAATGTGTTTTTTTAAGTTATTACTCATCAGAGAGAAATTTTAAACAGGAAAAAGTCATTTTTCAAATTCATCACAGTTGTTTTCAAACATATAGTTTCTAACCAGTTACAAGACTTTTTAAAGATGAATTAGAATTATAAATAATTGGAACCGAAATGAGCCTACCACAAGACATTAAACAACAATCGATGCTATTTTCTCTAGACATTTTTTTGATTTCCACTCGAAAACTTATGTATCTAATTTCTCATAACATAAGCCTGATATCTTAGTCTTACAATCAACTACAGTAATTACTGATGTATCCGGTAATCTGTTTAAAAAAATCTGTTTAAAATATGTTTTTCCGTTAATCAGCTGTCGCACCCATACGAACGACAACTTTCAGAAGTTGAGAAACTTCTGCGAGCAAAGGACTAACGAGGTCTTACCTTTTAACGTGTGATTCCTAACACGGTTACAAAATCATCCCCGCTTCAACCAGATAAATTCTCTCAAGAAAAATATTTGGTCGAGGCGGGAATCGAACCCACGATCTTCCGATCGTGAGTCGGGCGCACTACCACCGCGGCCAATTCCACAATGAAATAAGGTATTAAAAATTAACCTGTAGCTGGAAATGTTATACGAATAAATTTCTTCAAGAAAAACTTTGACTGATTTGGTTCAATTATATCAAGAAATATAATTTTTTGAACTGCCGTTCATTAAATAGGTAGACTTTTTCAAATTTGAAGAATATCAATTGAAGTTTCAATGATTTCAACATATCATTTGAATTTTCGTTCAATATATTTGTGAGATTCATTTTTTTTGTATCATACTCGTATAAGTTCTCCACAGTATCACTTATAAATATATAAGCCATATTTCTGTATAATTTTTCATTTTTTACCAATCACGACTCAACATAGTGATTCCCCCTGTTGGGGTTAATTACTATGAAAACTGAGGAAAAAATATTTCGAAGGCATTTTTTATACAGTATCATTTTTGATAACGAATGTTACTGTTCATCTTCGACAGAATTTGACTTTCAATAATAATATCTTGTATTTTTTTCCAGATGGTGGGCCTACGAATAGTGGATGACACTTTGAATAAATCTTTCTACAAATTAGGACTTCTGGTGGGCAAACATCCTGTCATTTTTCTGACCGTTCCTATACTCGTAACGATAATAGGATTGACTGGTTTCCAACGAATACAGAACAACATAGATCCTGAATACCTTTTCAGTCCTATCAATGGTGAAGGAAAGGTCGAAAGAGCGATAGTGGAAAGTTTTTTCAAAGTCAACTACAGCAGCCGATTTAGTGTAGCTAGAATAACAAGGGCTGGTGAGTGATTACAATAATAATTTTTATATTCCTTTCAGCATGAAACATACAAATACATAAATTCAACGATTTAAAAAATCTAACTGTACTTTCGTCCTATGAGAAACATTTTGAATGAATTGTATTTGTTTGTGGTAGTGAGGTAAATGAAAAAGGGACCCATGGTTTGAGCTGCAGACAAAGTTCTGGACGTTTTCCAAGACATTACCAAGTCAACGACATCATAAAAAAGGCCTTGATATCAGCCGGGATATCTTTCATCCTAGAACCACTAGGTACTAGTCGTGATGATGGCAAACATCCTGATGGGATGACCCTTGTTCCCTAGAAATGCGGCAAAGCTGTCGTTTGGGATTTAACATGAGCGGTCACATTGGCCTCATCTCATTCAGTTGGAACATCCAAAAATGCAGGTGCTGCTGCCAAACAGCAGAAATATGGAAATACTTTTATATTTAATCATGAGGCTGTGAAACTTTCGGTGTATTTGGCTAAATTTCGTTAATGAAATTGACAGAAGGATGACTGAAGAAACTAAAGAAAGAAGATGTACTACCTTTCTGATACAACAAATTAGCTAAGCTATACAGCATGGTAATTCAGCTTCTGTTTTCGGCACATTTCCATCGTCATATCCACCCGATGAAAGTTTTCTTCATCCCGTAGTTTTCAAATCATATTCATACCCTAGTCATGATGAGAGATTAATTTCTCATAACACCTTCCATATTCCTTGTAATACTCTCCAGAAGATAAAGAGAAATATGAACAAGTTTTAGAATTATCTTCTTCTACCAAATTCAAAACGTCTGCCATATCCAATTCAGTTTCAAGGCGTTTAGCTTTGAATTCCTTATCATACTGATCCAACGAAGGGGTGATTACTCAGAAGAAGACAGCGGTGACGATCGTAGTATCAACAGTTACAAATTTACATTAGTAATACATTCTTCAGTCAGAACTCTTGGGTCTAATGGTAATGGGTTGAAAAATATTGGAAACACCTGTTTCATGAAAACTGTAATCCAATGTTTATCAAAAACGAGATGTTTGCTGGAAAATTTAAAAAGGATACATACATGGAAGAAGAAGTATTTCTTGAATGAAAGGTGCTTTGGTCAAAGCGTTCACAAAATTTGTTCACAAAGTGGTCAGAAGATGTATCTGATAGAGTAATAAACACTGCCTACTTCAAAAGTCAGATTCAAAGATTTGCCCCCGATTCATTGTGTCTGTTCATCAAGACACCCAGAAATTCTTTGGATATCTTTTGGAAGGTTTACATGAGAACCTTAATAGAATTACTGAGAAACCTAAACCTCCAAGAGTCCTGGCTGAGATATTTGAACATGAACAAATTTAAGAATGTAGACAATTTCGTTGATCAAAAAAAATCCACTTAGAAGTGCACATACTGTGGACACTCATCAGGAATCATCGATCGTTTCTGGGATTTGTCTCTCCCCATACCACGAAGAACTGGTCAATTGAGTTCGTCACAATGCCTGGATTCCATCCTAAGAGAGGAAACTCTGGATGGTTCGTCACAATGCCTGGATTCCATCCTAAGAGAGGAAACTCTGGATGGAGATGGAAAACCAACTGCTTCGAGGTGCAAGGAAAGGAAAAAATGCACAAAGTACCAATCAATCAATCCATAAGTTTCTCTGTACTTTAGTAATTCGTTTAAAAAGATTCTCTTAATCGGAAAGATTCAGAGGCAAATCGAATGTTGCTATTGACTTTTCTTTAGAAGGATTGGATATGAGCAGTTATGCAGCAGACAATGTGGCTCCTTGTTGTTAAAATCTATATGCACTTTCGAATCACAGTGGGACTACGTACGTTTGAAGGTGGTTGACAATGTTTCGTGGTGCATTTCATCAGTTCGGACTTTCATTGTTTAATATGATATGAATTGACTTAAATCCCTGAACAATCTATAAAAATTAAAAATATTAGCTGAAAAAAAGAACAATTATATCAAGCAAAAAAATGGAAGTTACAATGAAATACTCACAACGGGCATTACACAGCATACTGCATACATCCATATAGCGGTAGCTGACATAAATACAACGATTCACACGTGTCCCCAATTTCCCCAAAATCGCTTGTGAGTGAGGAGGCATATGTCCTCTTTTATGAACAGGAAGAGGTGTTTATTTTTTTTTTCTTAACTGAAAGCGTTACAGAAGAAAACGCAATAAATATTCATATTCATCGCAAACAAATCCTTATCTTCTTCATGAGTCATTTATCGAGTTCATATAAATCAACACAGAAACAATGTTAAACGTTTAGTTCATTGACTTTTCTGATTCACATACATTCATCATATTATGATTAGGACTAATTCCACCACTCTTGTCATTGAAGTATCATCCTTCTTGCAATTAATGTGCCGTATGTCTGACGACTCCTCTCAATGTTCCACATTGATAGTCGAATCGGAAGCATGATCTCAATTATCCTAATTTATATTCTACCTATTTTGCTACATGCTGCATAGATATTAATCATTTCAATTAGTTTCCATATTCAGAGTTGATTCCACTGTAACGTTGATACACAATAATCAAATAGCATTTGAGTCACTAAGAACTCATAAACATGGTCAAAATGGATAATTTTGAGTTTTCGTGAATAATAATAATGTCGAAATGATAATAGAGATCAAAAACCTGAAATTATTTTCGCCTTTCTCATAGTTTTTATTAATTATTCAAATACTTTCACGATGGAAACGATGAATAATGATTTTTTTTCAATTGTAGGGTATCTCAGATTTTGTAGGTTAGAAAAAACCTGCCTTGGTCCTGATCAGAAATCTAATGATATCTTTTTTGTGAAGATTCGAATTTAATGTTCGTAGATCAGGTGGCTATAGCAAAAGTTACTTTCTTAAGTGGCTATGAAAAACACGAGTGAATTAATTGTGATATTGACATTGATAAATTAGGATTTGTTTACATATTCCATTCTTGAATAAAATATTTATAGTCAAATCAATCACATATAGAGTGATGATATTCTAAATGATGGTGTGTACAATCGGTTAACATAATATTAATATAATGTTTATATTAGCAAGAGTGTGAAATACACTGCTCTTCACTCGTTTCTATGAATGCTAGTTTGACTTTTGAATATATTCATATTCAGCAGCATTTAACTTATATATACAATCTATCGCTTCAAAAACACTTCACTAACTTTCTTCGAAAGCTTCTGGTAACTCCTTTTCCATATTCTCTGTTTCACCATCACTGTCGTCATTTAAATGAACTTATTTCCACCATTAATATGGAAGTGTCCATATGGTCTTTTTCAACTTAAATTACTTTTTTAATCTTTTCTGCCAGTCTTCTTTGGTAATATTAGATACTTCCTCTTCAATTAGATCTATTACCTTCTTATTAAATTTTGTTTGCAGACATGTTGAGCGTACACATTCTCGAACCATCTGTCCACCCTTTCGTAACTGTGTCGTGAGTGTCATACCAAGTTTCATCCAAATAGAAAATTTGCCGTTGTTCTTGTCTATATTTAGTTATTTGTTCTAAGAATGTGTTATGCAATTCCACTATTCTTGTGCTTTTCATAACTGCTTGAAGTTTGTTTATTATTTTAAATCTAAATCCTAGTTTCTGTATCTAATTCTGAAGAGTTTTGTTACAGCAGCTCATGTTATGGCCGGAAGTATTCAATTTCTTCCTTATGATTTCAGTTGTAGGAATCTCATTGTTTTTGTAACAGTCGCATATAGTTTTTTTCAATGATTTTATTAGATGAACATCTAAAGGTTTTTGGTAATCCTGTATCATATCGCATCTTGCGTTCCTAAGGAAGAAATTTCAGTCAAATCTGATGTTGCTGGTAATAGTTTGTTTCCCTCGAAACCAAACTTGAGATTTTATATATAAAGTTGAGAAACTAAGCGACTGGAGGTATGTAAAGTCAAAAAATAGAAAATCAAAAATCTGCTTCACTTTGCCAAGCTTTCGCTTCTAATCGGAACCTTCTTCAGGGCCTATAATTTATTGAGTTGTGGGTTTTTTGCCAATGAATAACATTACAAATCATACTTACAGTAAAAATAAGTGAAAAATAATGAATTGAACATATAAATTGACGAAAGAAAGTTAAACATTGTTTGACAAATTTCATACCTTCACATAAATGTCATTTTTCAATGACACCAATGCACCAATATCGAATTTCAACACTCAAATCACGATCAGTTCCTGAACTGAACATTAATGACACGACGGCGATAAACATCCCCGCATTCTTGATTTCTATTCGCCACCGTAACATGACTTCAAATTCAACTTTATGACCCTTCAGCCAATCATAAAACTCGGTTAGTAAAAATTATCCAATACGAACCGCCAAGTCTACAGTCACGTGGACTAGTTCGCTGCCGGTTCATTTCTATGCATTTTTTTTTGGTCTTTGAGAGTGCCGCCAACTTTAAAAGTGCACAATATCGTTTACTTCGACTATACCGACAAAAACATGAAACAAGACCCCAGAATAATTTTGGATGACCACAAAGTGAAGTTGATAGAGATAGCTGAGGCTTTAAAGATATCAAACGAACGTGATGAACATATCGTGTATGGATATTGGGGTATGAGAAAGATTTGTTCAAAGTGGGTGCCGCGCGAGCTCACAATCGACCAAAAACAACAACGAATTGATGATTCTAACTAGTGTTTAATGCTCTTCCACCATAAAAAAACCTGAATGTGTGCGTCGTTGTGTGATAATGGATGAAACATGGCTCCATCATTCCACACCAGGATCAAAACGATCGTCATTATAGTGGACTGCACGTGGTGAACCGTCTCCAAAGCGTGCAAAGACGGAACAGTCGGTTGGCAAGGTTAGGGTATCAGTATTTCTTGAAAAGAAAAAAACCATCAACAGCAACTATTACATAGTATAATGGGAGCGTTTGAAGGACGAAATCGTGGAAAAACATCAACATCTGAAGAAAAAGAAAGCGATACTTCATCAATACAATCCACCCTGTCAGAAATCAATGAAAACGGGGGCAAACTTGCATGAATTGTGCTTCAAATTGGTTCCGCATCCACCGTATTCTTCAGATGTGGCCCCAAGCGACTTTTTATCATTTTTTTTTATGTTAGCCTACGAACTCTTCAGTCCAACTGTTATCTTTACAAATGTCTATATTTCGTTGATTGAAAAGTGACTAGTTTATAAATTTTTAAGGAAAAAACGTTCTTGAGTTCTTACTTTTCCATCGATATATAGAAATATACAATCATCGTTAAAATCTATTCAATTTTTCAGTTGATTATATTCTACTTGAGTAACATCTCTCATAATTTTTGGTGACCAATAATTTCAAGTAGTTATAGAGCCAATTATAGATAATCCCTTATTACTAGCCTCAAATAACTCATCAATCCGTATTTTTCCAGGTCGCTTCGGCCGAGTAATTGTGACTTCAAAAGATGGCGACAAAAATTTGCTGAGAGCTGATGTCTGGAGAGAATTGAGACTTCTAGATGAATACGTCCAAAATATGACTGTGTTCTATGATGATGAATACTTTTCCTATAAAGACATGTGCGCAAAATGGATGACGGATTGTTTCACCAACGACATTCTCAATTTGGATTATATAATGGACGATGTGAGTAGACTCGTAATGTTGAATGCTTACAGGGTGTTGTATATAGTGTGAAAATTTGTAAGCTGTATGGAATCAAAATGGGGGTTTCATCCCTTCACGAACGGTTCAAAGGTACAAACTTGTGCTAGTTGTGTATTAATGAGACTTCACATTTTAACATGTTATTCCCAGGAAAACATTTTTCATGTTCGATGATTTTAGAAGCTACCAACGATTGTTGAACCCTTGATGGGTTCATTATGATTCGGTAAAAAAAAACAGCTTTTATTGTGAGCCTGGAAAAATTGTATATTGCATCTCTGTTGAAAAATACTTTATTTCACCGAATTCAGTCATTTCTTCATTCACTCGTCGATACATTATCTGAATTATTGAAAACATTTTTCTGACTACCCAAGTTCTGGTAAAAATACTAAACCCTTTTCTCTCTTACGAGACCTACAATGTTGTAGGTACTTGTGACAGATACCCGACGGTAAAATAACTAACCCAGTTATTGCCACGCAGAGTTGCGATGCATTCATATACAAAAAATTAGAGCAGCATCACTCATTTTTACGTATTAGTTCACTTTTCCGTTGAGTTACAATTCCAGTCTTATCTGATATTACCGAAAAAGGGTCATTAGTATACATGTTCCATCAATCCCTGTGATGAATTTTTCAAGATCGTTCATATGTATATAAGAATAACATTTGGGCCAAGTATAGATCCTTGTGGAAGTCCATCGTCAACTACTTTAGATTCAAAAATGGTTCATGTGATTCATCCAGGGAAATGTTCCGGTATAATTATATATTGAAGGCGGTCAATTCCAAGATCCTATCCAGAAAATATATTTGAAAAACTTAAATGTTATTGTGAGGGGACGATAGTTAACCATCAAGTTAGTACAGTTTTTTATGAATAGGGATGATTATCTCTATTTTCAGGTTTTTGAGAAATTGTCGATTCATGATAGATAAAGTGACTATGAAGGTCAACGGTTCTATTATGAAATTTGGTTCGTTTTCCGAAAGAAGACATGGTTTCCAATATAGTATAATCATAAGTCCAATGTAAATTGCAAATTTCGCTATTGAACAAGTCTGTTTTGATGATTCATGCAAAGTAACTCAAATCGCAAAAAGAACACCCAATTTTTGCTGAATATGAACATTTTATTCGTTCCAGAGTATTTCTGTAGAAAACTGTTCCTGATTCAAAGATCAGATGCAGTTCTGAAAAATGTTGACGATATTACTTCCGCTAAGAAATAGGTTTTTTATGGGGGAGACATAAAACAGTACGTTTCGAAAATTCCTTTATGGACAAGCGTATTCCATTGTGTTTTCAAACGACAATTAAATTCGATGCTCCCGCAATTTAAGAACGACATCAAACTTTGTGTAACATCTATAAGGTCAGGTGCTCAATATATTGTGGTCGGCAATTAAATTTATTATTTTGGATCAAGGATGGTGATCGAATACTGAAACAATAGAAGAATGAAAATGAACGTTAATATAATACCACGAATAGTGAAATTATTCGGCAAATATTGAGTCATTAGTTTCTTTGTTTGGTGAGTGAAGATGTTTACCCAAGTTAAAGATGGTTTTCAAAATAGTAATATTATAAACAGGAAGAAAAAACTTTTCGGTGAGTAATTTAATCAAGAATTAATTGTGACAGAGTCCTCAAGAAAAATTTAATTAAATTCGAAACCTATCTTCAGAAAAATTATTGAAATTGTTAATTCTTGAAAATTTTCTGTTCAAGAAGTAACCTAACCTAATTAACATTGCCCTCGGAATTGTAGTGAGCTAATTTACATACAGGGTGTATCAACGATAGGAGGGATTTCGGGAAAAAGTTGTAGAGATTAGTGAAACCTATGTTCCAATAATTATTACTAATATACAAGGTGTCCAATAAATGTATGACAGACTGAACTTTTTTTTTGAATAGAATACTCCAGATAGTGAAAATATCTGGAGTATTCTATTTATTTCATTGAATTATAAAGTTTCTCGGGTTCAGAAGTTATAGTGAAATTTATCTCGGAAAAATATCTCCTACTGGATCGAATGCAATGAGGAAATTTTTCAACCAAATATCCTTGAGTGTAGTGTATTTTCATTTCGTCTTCATAAGTTTACCGAACGACACTTTTTCTATACAGATATAAACAAAACTCGGGATCACTTTTTTCGCAGTTTTTTCAAATGGAACACCCCGTACATAGGACCATCCCAGAATAGTCCACCTTTCAGAAAAAGTAGGGATTGGCTACTTTATTTCCGTCGGAAATGTATCCAGTTCTAGGAAACAGGCAGTGTCAATCATAAGAAAAGTAAAAAATAAAATTGCGACAAATGAAAAAAATTAATTAGCGGAGATGCTTTCAACAGTTGAAAATCCTCATGTAAGTACAAGGGAAATTGCAAGAGAGTTGAACAGAGCAAATCTGGTTTCTTATTTTTTTGTTTTCGCTCAAATAATCAATGTCGTTAATTTGCAACTTGCGATAAAAAAATTATAAAGATCTATTCAAAAGAATAATTTTTGAATAGTAACATTATGAAATCATAGTGACCCAAATACATCCTCTGCCGATACTCAATACAAAAGTTGTATTTTCATTAATATGTTTGAGAAACGTTTTTTCTTCATCCAGCTGTCGCCTCCTTACACCCCTCAAGAGTTGAAACTTGTACCAGCTAAGGATTAACGAGATCTTACTTTTCAAATTGCGATTCTTTGCAATGAAATGATACCGGAAAATAAAAATTATAATAATAACTTGCCGACTATCAATAACTGTAAAACAATCAGTTCATCTTCCCCAGATCGACAGGAGGTAGACATCTTGTAGACTAGAAATTGAGAACAAAGAACAGAATACCACTGACACTGCCGTTTGTTTGATTATACGACTCTTTGTCGCTACAGGCATAAGAAAATACATTAAAGCTTCGCTTTCTTCGACTATTCACAATCGACAATCTCTTTTCCTTTCATTCTCGAATCTTATTAAAATTTTCAAACAAGATAACACACTTCAGAGTTCAAGGTTCACATAATAGAATTGAGCGCAACGTGAGAAAAAATCAGCACCTACTCGAGGATCACAATGTTAATGAGACAGCTTCATTCAGAAAAGAAGGTCAGCGAATTTCAATCTTCATTGTAATTATAACACTCACTTTCACAAGTTAATATTCAATAGGAGCTTGGATTGAAAAAATTTGTTATATCTTCTTTATTGACATGACACACATTAGTGAGTTCATGTTCTAACTATTCAAATTGGAATATTCTTCGTCTAATTGATCTAATATGTATAAGAGTAATATGAAAGCACGAAACTTCATGATTGTTCTGATTTATTGAAAACCATATTGAACACCTATGAAAGGCCTTGCTACAGAGTGAAGAAAGCTTATTGATTGGTCCAGGTAGACATATCTGAAGAACCATTTTCGTGGCTTCAGTCAAATTTCATTAAACTCTGGCAGATGGTAGTTTTCATTGAGTAGGGCAAAAGTCTAGATGAGCGCGAAGCTCCCTCAACGTATTCCAAGGCGAGATCAGCTGAAGCCTTAGAGTCAATCCCTACCGAACCAAATATACGCCATCCCATTTTATCTGTGGAGCGCCGAGATCAGTCGCTTATTTGATTTTAAAGCAATAAACTCCATACCCATATGGACTAACTCTTCTACTCACCTACATCCGAATCCCCTTAACCCTCAAAAACAATCTGTACCAAACAACAAGTAGCTTAACCAAGCTGTCAAAACTTGTGAAAATAAAAATGATCATCAATATACAGGTTGTACAAAAATGTGATGTACCAAAGTTGTGTTTTTTATGGTAGAATACTCTGTATATTTGCACACCGATTGATTTCCTTCGAAAAAGTTGTTCTCAAAAAGATATAGTCGTTTGAGTCTATACTTGGTTGGTGGTGAGATTTATGTCACTAAATATCTCGTAATTGATCAAATTGAAATATTCTCAATTATCCTTGAGAATAGTGTATCTATTTTCATTAACTATTCGTAATTTTACCAAGTGATGCATTTACATGTACAGAGGTAATCAAAAACAGGAATCGTTTTTCTTAGTTTTCTCAAATGGAACACCCTATAAACTAATTGATTTCTATCTGCAAAATATATAATTCTTGAAAAAAATATGAAAAGGCATCAATTTCAAAGAGATAGAATTCACAAGATATGTTCAAACAATCTTCAGTTTGGAACTATCAATAAATTTAATGTATCTTCAATTTCTTCAAGAACTTCAATCATTATTTATCTTGTAATCTGAAAAAAATTCTATGAATCTTTTTTCCCAATGTCGTTGGTTTTTGAGAGTAGATCAATGCCTTGACATATCACCAGATGACATAAATCTTGACCTTGTACTTGAGTGAAGATTCTCAACATCTCTCTATCTTCTTACACCATTTTTTTACTTCTTGTACTGTACATATTCTTTATGCTTTGTGCATTACTGATTATTTGAATCAGAATATCGATATGGTTACTGATTGAAATCAACTAATGTAACATCTACTATAAATTTAGATCATCTCAGTTATATCAAATCACACATGGAACTATGTACTATAGTTAATATAGAAGAATTATTGAAAAAAACTAACATTATTTTGAAAATGAAAGAGTGGATTCATAATATGCAGACATGGATGGAAAAATACTGAATCAATTTCACTCTTTTATATTTATATTACAGATAATAAACCTCCTCTCTTGTATTATTTTGTATCAAAGGAGCATACATAATGAGCTTGTTTCATCAAGTTGGGAATAAATTATACTTATCGAGCCTAATCGGTCCTAATACCTCTTCATATTTGTAGAAAAAAGAAAAATTCGAGAAGCAAGAGTTTAAGTTAGCCGCGTGTCTACAGCGGTGTTACTAAGTGCTAATTATTTTAACGAAGTTATTAAACATTAGAAAGAGTACATTGTCTCATACATTCAAGAGAGATAGCTGACTGGGTGACAATATGGCTAATATATTATTATTAGTGGGTGGCATTAATGCATAATTGATTTATTTTATTGGGGTTCATGAGCCTTTGAGAACCATTAAATTTTATTTAGAACCATGGTTTTCCAGTACATTTTATTTCATATGGAGAATTTTTTCATGAATTTAAATGTTAACAGGTTCATATACACTTCCATTATTGAAATTTCTGTGATATCAACATGAAAATGTTTACTGCCGGAGATATTACAAAAATAACGTTTTTTGATATCAACATGAAAATGTTTACTGCCGGAGATATTTCAAAAATAACGTTTTTATTGTGTTTTGTGTTATTTGGATCCCATGTATAATCAATTCTCCCTTCCAGTGCATTTCTTAAAATTTCTTCTTAGATTTAGTTGTCGGAAGTGAGCGTGATTATACTTTGAAGCTAATTATTTGTATTGTTTCTATTGGTCAATCGAACAAGAAGCGCGACTAGGCCCGTGACGTCACTAATTAGAGAGCTGAAACAACGTAAACTATTTTTTAATTTGAAATTACTACCAAATCAACTGTTAACCAAAAATCATGAAACAAGCCCATTATTGTGTCTATTTTATTGCCAAAGTTTTTGAATACAATAATTATTATATAAATTCAATCAAATTCAAGTGTCATTCAAAAATTGTTTCAAAGTTTTGACATTAGTCACTTAGAACACCAACTATTCTACAATCACCAAGAGGAAAATGGAATAATCGAGTAATAAAAAAATATTCATGAATATTTCTAATAGACACTATTCTAGAAGACAGGAATTTGGACTCCACTTCTTCCATCAATTTCGAAGATGATGGGTTAACAATAACAACTGAAGAGAAAGTGAATTATTGAATTAATTTTATTAAATCATAAAGCTGTATATGCTGAGGTTTCTTTAAGATAATGGTTGAATTATGTTTAACCAGAACTGTTATTAAATTCCAATACTACCTCTGTTCAAATAGGTATCATTTATGTCCTGTAATGAATTTTCAATGAAAAAATTCTCATGATAAAAGTAATGCATTTATGTTCGCCACGAAATATTCTTATAAAATTAAATTCTGTCCATGGTGATTCACCAATCTTCTATGTTACCAATGAATATGTATAAATTATATTGAAAATTTGTCTGGACTAGAAAATATATTCTGAACATTTTTTCGATGATTTTTGTAAAACTATCCAAAAAATGTTCAAGTTGAAGCCTCATGAACCGTGAATGTAGCAAATTGAAACATTTTTTGTTGGTGGAATAACAAAAAATGAAGTTTCTTTCCATTTTCAGAGACTCAATTTAAACCAAATAATTTAAACAAGTTTAACTGGGTAATTATAAACTCATAATTGAAAAATAGAAAGACAATTGCTTCAAAAGCAAATAGATGAATATTTCCCAGATATCTGTTTTTTTTTTTTCATTTGAATCTGAATTTCCATTCGTGTTTAGCTGTCACATATTCAAAGAAAAATAGTATTACTTGAAGAAAAATGTTGCCTATTCACCATTTCTTTATATTTTTCAGGTCGAAAGCAAGAATATTAACCTCACTTTTCCTCTCATGTTCAACCCAGTCACATGGGATGCTCATGCTTTTCCTGTATTTTTCGGTGGTACCGAAGTCAGCGAAGAAGGATTCATTATCAGTGTGCCATCATTGCAACTGGCGTATTTTGGAAACTCTGACACGAAAAAATTGGACAAGTTGTGAGTATTCACATGAATGATTGTATGGAGAATTTCATTAATTTTGATAGTTTTCACTTGTCATCATACAAAAAAGTACCAAATTCTCGGAATACTACCATTTTTCTCAAAAAATATTCATTTTTCTCATCAATTTCCCCATTCAAAGTAGTCGTCTTCATACATAATACACTTATGCCAGCGATTCAGTTTTCATCCCCTCAATTTTTGCAAAACGCCATCCTTTCCCGAGTTCCTTCAATCTGGGTTAGATAAAAAAGTCGCAGGGAGTCAAATCTGGTGAATACGGTGGCTGAGGCTGGTTTTCAGCCAAAAAAATTACGAACAAGCAATGGCGAGTAAGCAGGTGCATAAGTCATGAGTTGTTTTTTCAATATATCGGACGTATTCTTCGTATTGCTCCTCGCAAGCGGCGCATTACTTCAATATGATACTCTTTATTGACCGTACGACCATGTGGCAAAAATCCTAATATACTATGCCATGGTAAAAGACGCTTCATGCGTCTGGTTGCGAAAATTTTCGAAACCTATTGCACGGGATGATCCAACCGATATGCCAACATTCTCAGTAACTTCTCCCATAGTGATTCATCGATTTTCCATAACAATTTTCTTCACTTTCTCAACATTTCCATCGGTTGTTAATGTACTGGAGCATTCAGGACAAGCTTCGTCATTCACATCTTCACGACTTTTTGTGAAAAGCGTGTACCACTTTCCACTTGTAAACATTTCAAGTGTTTTTGAGCACTTTATTCCATTTCTCACACAAAATTTGATGAACATTTTTTCATCAATTTTTTCGATAGCAGAAAATCGTCTAACACGCAAACATTTCTAACTTTTATGCCTCTCGCCAATAAACTAAACTTGCTGAACAGTTGGAACTGTGAACATATGTTTGAGACAAGTGTATCAATATGAAAAAAATAAAAATATCGCTAACCGAATGTAGGTAGGTAGGTCTAAAGTGAGTGGGTCTATTCGACCCTCCACCACAACCCATAAGGGTTTATTGTGGCTCACACCTATTCACACTCGGCCAAATTAACCCAGTTTCTTGACGAAGCCGATTAGTTTGTATGATGAGTGGTCTTTCAGGTCAGACGGTGGGAGTACGGATCTGCCGAACTCATAGAACCTGATTCGGTCACCAGCGGGGTAGGCACAAAGTATATGCTCTGCAGTTTCATCATTTTCCAGACAAAGGCGACACACACTGTCTTCCGACAGTCCATGTGATGATTCAAATGACAGTAACCTGTAAGAAGGCCTGTAGTCCAACAACTGTTTGGTATCAAGCTTCGAAGGGTGAATAAACGCCTTGGAGTGAGCCAATCCTGGAAGATTCTGCCAGAAGTCCATAACTCTTCTAGCCATCTAGGTGTTAAGTGTTTGTTTGGCAAAGCCCAATGACAGTCATTGGCAAAGCCAATGACAGGTTCTGGTCCAATGAAGCCGCTTGCAGCACCCTCCTTTGCAAGAGAGTCAGCAGCTTCATTGCCTTTCAGGCCAGTATGGCCAGGAATCCAGACCAGAGACAATCTGTTAAGTCTTCCTATCGAGGAGAGTCTTTTTTGTCAGTTTGCTACCAATTTAGACGTTACTCGGTGGGAGCCAAGAGCTTCCAACGCCGCTTGACTGTCCGAGAATATTTTTATTGACTTGTGTGTGAGGTTGGATTTTTCCAATCTCTCCGCACACAATTCAATAGCGTACATTTCTGCTTGAAATACAGTCGCGTAAGTTCCTAGGCAGAAAGATAACCCTGTCCTGGGTCTGCGACTGAAAACACCTGCACCAGAACCGGAAGGTGTTTTTGATCCATCTGTGAACCAAGAACTATCTGCTCTTAATATTTCCTTCTCCCGCAGGATCCAGTCCTCTCTACTCGGGAATAGTACTTTATAAGGCAGAGGTCATTTCCAGAATGCTGTGACTTTCAATGTCAACCAACAGTCTGTTGCACTCTGCATTGAATTGATTTGTGCAATTGGCAATGTGCACATTACACTTATGCCAGCGATTCAGTTTTCATCCCCTAAATTTTTGCAAAACGCCATCCTTTCCCGAGTTCCTTCAGTCTGGGTTAGATACAAAAGTCGCAGGGAGTCAAATCTGGTGAATACGGTGGCTGAGGCTGGTTTTCAGCCAAAAAATTACGAACAAGCAATGGCGAGTAAGCAGGTGCATAAGTCATGAGTTGTTTTTCCAGTATATCGGACGTTTTCTTCGTATTGCTCCTCGCAAGCGGCGCATCACTTCAAGATGATACTCTTTATTGACCGTACGACCAAATGGCAAAAATCCTAATATACTCTGCCATGGTAAAAGACGCTTCATGCGTCTGGTAGCGAAAATTTTCGAAAACTATTGCATGGGATGGTCCAACCGATATGCCAAAATTCTCAGCAACTTCTCCCATAGTGATTCATCGATTTTCCTTAACAATTTTCTTCACTTTCTCAACATTTCCATCGGTTGTTAATGTGCTGGAGCATTCAGGACGAGCTTCGTCATTCACATCTTCACGACTTTTTGTGAAAAGCGTGTACCACTTTCCACTTGTAAACATTTTTCTGACTCAGAGTACAATCACCGTATGTCACTGTCAACATTTCAAGTGTTTTGAACACTTTATTCCATTTCTTACACAAAATTTGATGAACATTTTTTTATCAATTTTTTCGATAGCAGAAAATCGTCCAACACGCAAACATTTCTTGACGAAGCCGATTAGTTTGTATGATGAGTGGTCTTTCAGGTCAGATGGTGAGAGTACGGATCTGCCGAACTCATAGAACCTGATTCGGTCCCCAGCGGGGTAGGCGCAGAGTATATGCTCTGCAGTGTCATCATTTTCCAGACAAAGGCGACACACACTGTCTTCCGACAGTCCATGTGATGATTCAAATGACAGTAACCTGTAAGAAGGCCTGTAGTCCAACAACTGTTTGGTATCAAGCTTCGAAGGGTGAATAAACGCCTTGGAGTGAGCCAATCCTGGAAGATTCTGCCAGAAGTCCATAACTCTTCTAGCCATCCAGGTGTTAAGTGTTTGTTTGGCAAAGCCCAATGACAGTCATTGGCAAAGCCAATGACAGATTCTGGTCCAATGAAGCCGCTTGCAGCACCCTCCTTTGCAAGAGAGTCAGCAGCTTCATTGCCTTCCAGGCCAGTATGGCCAGGAATCCAGACCAGAGACAATATGTTTAGTCTTCCTATCGATGAGAGTCTTTTTTGTCAGTTTGCTACCAATTTAGACGTTCCTCGGTGGGAGCCAAGAGCTTCCAACGTCGCTTGACTGACCGAGAATATTTTCATTGACTTGTGTGTGAGGTTGGATTTATCCAATCTCTCTGCACACAATTCAATAGCGTAAATTTCCGCTTGAAATACAGTAGCGTAAGTTTCTAGGCAGGAAGATAACTCTGTCCTGGGTCTCCCACTGAAAACACCTGCACCAGAACCGGAAGGTATTTTTGATACATCTGTGAACCAACAACTATCTGCTCTTAATATTTCCTTCTCCCGCAGGATCCAGTCCTCTCTACTCGGGAATAGTACTTTATAAGGCAGTTCGAAGTTGACAGTTGGAGGCATAAAGTCAGAGGTCATTTCCAGAATGCTGTGACTTTCAATGTCAACCAACAGTCTGTTGCACTCTTCATTGAATTGATTTGTGCAATTGGCAATGTGCACAAGTCCATATGTAGTCCATCTAGCCTTTCTCTCCAGTAAAATGTGGACAGGAGGTAGATCTAGAAGGATCTCCTTGGCCGCTGACGGTATGGTACTGATGGCACCACTGATAGCCAGACAAGCCTGTCTCTGTGGGCCAGAGAGCTTTTCTTGGGCCGTTCCATGTGAGTCTTTTATCAAGGGCAATGCCAAGATATTTCACCTCCGTTCCAAATGGAATGACCACACCATTGAGGGAAAGTGGCGTTAGATCGCCCAATTTCCTTCTCTTCGTGAAGGGGATTAACACAGTTTTGCCGGGGTTGACAGACATCTGCTCCCTCAGGCACCAACTGTGAACAACGTCCAACGCGCTTTGGAGGGTATTACAAGCCACTCTTCCCAACGTGGACTTTGCCAGGTAACCGAATGTACATAGCCCACGAAATTTAAATAATCACGTTATTTTTTGAATAGCCTTTGAATGTACTTTTCAAGGTTATCATTTTTTAACAGTTACAATAGTCCAATTTGTATAATTATTACTTTATTTTGATATCAACAGGGGTGCAGCGTGGGAAGATGCATTCTTAGATCTTATCGAACAACTTCAAGACAAGGAAAACAAGTTTGAACATATACGAATAGCTAGATTCACATCTGGGACACTGGGACATGAATTGGAGAAAAATGCACAATCAGTTGTACCATACTTTGCTTCTACTTTCATTATAATGGCCGTTTTCTCTGTTGGTAAGTATAATTACCGTTAAATGTGTAATAAAAAGCTAAAATCTAATATTTTTCCCGTGTATAAGACACAATTTTTTTCTGTGACGGAAAAAACGACGATTTAATATTGAGAAAAACATATTATTACAATATGTTAAAGTCAGAAAATTATCGATGTGAAATTTGAATTTTTAAACAGGTAGGTTGTTGTACTTATAGCGTTGCTAGGAAACATAAAAATTATTGCCAGCTAAATCGCGGAAAATTTATGAAACTGACATTTTGTTACCTGTCATCAGAGATAAAATGTCAAACTTTCTTCCCGTCACAGAAAAAAAATTGTTTTTTCATGTGATGTGAGAGGTTTTTAAGGATTTAACCAGTGGCGTACGTACATCAAAGTGTACTAAATATTATGTACGCCACTCTTTTTCCTCAAAATGAAAACACTTTTTCCGTAATACCCATTTATTTTAGGGTAAATTTGCTCTCTTAACTTCTTTTTGTCCCACATGCGATTTTTATATGAAAAATATAAACGATTTTAATGCATGGTCAACGTATCAGCAAATATCTGTTTTTTCATCAATATTGTTTCTAAAATCGAGATTCATTTTTTTTTTTGGTGAAGATGAAATAATTTTTTCGGTCCATGAATGGTTTCGTATAAAATGAATGAAAATGATTTATTACGCAATATGGATATGACATTTTAACAACTATGTTGTGAAGGAAACTATGGAGGTGACAAAATAATTGATGCTCACTTCAAATTTTGAATACGTAATACTTTTCAAACGATTAACTATTATGGGCAATTCCATGAATGCTGTTTGCCAATATGCAAAATATGCAAAAGCGCGTGTAATTCAAAAAGACACACCATACTGTACGAATATCGAAAACCAAGAAAGTGTTTTTAAATTCAGTTGAAGAAATCCCTGAAATGAGTACCAGAAAAATCAGTAACTATTTCTGGGTTGAAGAAAACTCACATGCCATCATGGAATCCCACTACCAAGAGCAATTTTCTCTAAATATATGTGGTGAACTTATTGGTTACTATTCGATTGGGCCTCAGGGATAATTGAACGAAAATAATTATCGCCATTTCTTTAACAGAGTTCACCAAACGTCACCATTTTAATCAGACATCGTATGTGGTTTATGCACGATAGTGCATCTGCCCTTTTCAATCTCTGTATACGGAATTTCCTGATCAACAGAAGCATGTTAGTTGATATGGCTCGCATGATCACAATCATGACCACCTGGATCTCCAGATCTGAACAGTCTTGGTTTTTACCTATGGGGACATCTCAAGATTCTGGAGACACAGTTTCGCTCATCTCCTGAAGACGCCAACTTGGTTCGTAAAAAACGCGTCAAGAATAGTATATTGCAGTTCTGGTGTTTGGAAAAAGTGCTGGTTGTGGATTCGTTCTACGCCTGATGTTCCAGTTTTACGTTTTTTTTTTAACAAAACACAGGCGCTACAGGAGAATCCTTTAGACATTCTAAGAGCGGTGCCTGTGCAAAAGTAGCGATTCACGTTGAATTTGAATCGCTGGCGATTGAATTTATTTGGAAAAATGTTCTCAGGAAGTTTATTCCACATATACGCAGTTCTACAGATAAAATAGTTCTTAAACAGTGGAGGTCGAGGTGTATTGAGTTGAACCTCAAAACGATGAGCAGCCACAGTCCATCGCGTATTTCTGATATGTACCGCTCTTGGTGTAATCAAATGTGCCAAGTCACCTCCCGTGAAAGTATATATAAAAGAGAGACAAATCTCCAGCCTTTCTTCGATGTTCCCGACTATCAAGGTTGCACGTTATGTTCGCATTTCCAATCAAGTGGATGGCTCTTTTCTGGAAGGAATCCATCAGCTTTGAAGTATGCTTAGGGGCGGAGCTCCGTACACGTGAATAATACTCCAAAGAAGGTCTGATCTGAACTTTATAAAGCATCAAAAGTTGCTGAAATGTGTATCGTTTTCTGGTTCGGAACAGTGTTCCAAGCTTTTGTGAAGCAGTCATTGCAATTCCAGCGATTTGATTGTGCCAAGACATATTGGTGTCTATTTTAACCCCCAACAGACTCATCGAAGCAAAAATTGGAATTGTCTCTCCTGCCATTATTATATCAAATCGGATTGATAACCACTTTAAAATTCGTATGATGATCTTTCGTCAGTATGTCATGGTCATACCAGATAATTTTATTTTTCAGTTACATGTATGATGTTCGACTGGGTACGATCGAAGCCATGGTTAGGACTGCTGGGTAACATAAGTGCCGCCATGGCTACACTCTGTGGTTTCGGATTCTGCATGTACGCTGGAGTTGACTTCATTGGTTTGAATTTAGCTGCTCCTTTTCTGATGATAGGTAAGTAGATAACCAACATTGGAAATTTAAAAAAATACTGAAGGCATTATTTCAACTAAATTCATATCTTATTGAAGATGTCAGGCCTTCAGGTGTAATCATTAACTCTATATGTTTGTTGATTTCCCTAGGCTTTGCTCATATCTTTGATGAAGCGGGGCAGATTTTTCGTGAAGTTTCTCTTTCAATATTTATGATGGAATTGGTCGATACTTGATGAAAATCGGGCGTGTCTTTACTAAAGCCATTGTATGGCGAAACACGTGTTGCGTTTTTGTGAAACTGTCTAGTGAAAATCTTACGATAAAGTGTTTTTGAATACTGTTACGTTTTTCCCGTGGGTTAACCAATAATTGACTATACTGAACAATTATCAAACTCAACTGTATTTTATTTTAATACAACAAAATACTAACTGAAACTTCAACTATTGTTCAAATGTCCATCGCCTCATCAGATGGCTCCGCGTACCGCACTATCACTTCCACTTGACTGTCCCGATAGGCGAGTGGATGGCGCTTATATTTGGCAATCGAACGCTCTGGAGAATTCTTCGGAATTCTAACGAACATCGAACAGCCGCGAAACATCGGGAACATAATTCTCGAAGCAACACCACGTCTGGGACGCCCGCTAGCGCACGTCGAGTTAGGCGTGATCTTGGTTACGTCACAATTGAATTATGGCTACCAGCGGCGGCCGGCGTTACTTTCTTTAGGGCATGTTCTACAAAATTAAGTTATCTCAATATTGATTTTGGAACTTTCTGTAATTCGATAATTGATTGTTTCTCAGGAATTGGTATCGATGACACTTTCGTGATGTTAGCAGCCTGGAGGAGGACTTCAATAAAAACGCCTGTTCCTGAAAGAATGGCCCAGATGTTATCAGAAGCGGCTGTGTCTATCACAATTACATCTGTAACCGATTTTTTCAGTTTCTGGATTGGTATCTTCAGTCCCTTCCCATCGGTGACAATATTTTGCATTTATTCAGGTAAATTTAGTGGAATGACACTTCTATTTCAGAAGTGGAAATGAAAATATGATGGTTTTGTAGGAGCTGCAACTTGCCTCCTCTTCATATGGCATTTGACTTTCTTTGCTGCTTGTGTGGCTATCTCAGGCTACTGCGAAGAGAAGAATCTTCACTCAGTGTTTTGCTTCGAAGTCCAGCCTGTATCCAAATCAAGTGAGTATTATCTTACTCAAAAGAAGTATTTCAATAATCACTTAATATTATATAATGATACAATATATTGAACTAGCTCAACTGAAGTATAATAATTCTTGAAGGAGAATGAATCCTAGAAACTATAACGTAATATTTTTTTCGGTACATTTCTTCAATATATTTCATGGAATTCTATATTCCAAAAAGAATCATCAACATTATAAAAGCAACTATGGCAGATGATAACAGTAGTTTCGACAACAAAGTCATCAATTGAATTGAAACATGATTTAGCTAATTACTCAAATTAAATCTAAGCACCACATACTAGAACTGAGAAATTCATAATACTCACTCTATTTCAAATGCTTTCCACCAGAATGTCCATGGAGGATATTAACTAACAATTCATCTGTCTAGATATCTTCACGACATCTGGATACTCTGATCTAAAACAAACATAAATGCCTCATACTGTTTTCGTGTGATGTGAATTGGGAAACTTTTTTATACCTCATGAAATGTATTTATGCTCGAGTTTCTCAAAATACAGCGAAGTTGAATCTACGTTTCACACGGTGTTCTCCGGGACAAAATTCAGACTTTCAATTCGATAGAAATAAGCGACATTTGAGTCATTGTATAGTCCGGTCAATTTAGACATTCAAAGCTACCTATATTCCCATCAAGCTGAGAATCAGCAAGATTGTTTAAAATATAATTTTCAGCAAAACGGTGAGTTTTATCATAAAAATACTTCAGACAAAAATTGTAGATTATACATGAAAATGTATCAATACTTTTTTTCCTACGAGTCACTGTTTTTGAGATATAACGATTATGACCGATAGAAAAATATTTTAACATATATTACAACTACAAAGATGTATATATACGTGGTGTACTCAAGCACATTATGACGATTACAACTTTTACAACTTTTTGAATCGTTATATTCCAAAAACGGTACATTTTTTGTAGATACTTTTATGATCTACAATTTTTGTCTGAAGTATTTTTATGATAAAACTTACCGTTTTGCTGAAAACCGCGAAAACCTTTGACCTTGAATAAACTTTTTTCCATACAGGGGAAGACGGGGAACTTTCAAATTTTATTTTTATTTGTATTTCAAACAATCCTACTGATTTTCAGCTTGGTGAGAATTTAGGTAGCTTTACTCTAATTTTTGGTCTAATTTGACCGGACTAGTACTTTTGCCAACGTAACACAAGTCGATTAATTCCGTCAGCATAAACATAGTAGCTCGGGATTCGTTGAAGAAGGCCGTTTTCCCTGGTCCTGATTGGCAAATATTTAACCAGCGAGAAAGTTATCAAAGTGCTTGGAAAATGGTGATCGGTTAGCGATAGGTCTAGGGAGTATGATAAGTGAGACAGAAGACGCTCAATTCGTTTCATTGTTGAACAGCGATTCTGGAAAAGTGCGGAAGAGCTGCTGCTGATGCAATTTCTAGCATATTCCTTCGAATTCCTCATAATAGGACTCTGCTGTGATCATATGGCGAAAATTATAGTGAATCTCACCAGCCGCTGACCACCATACAGTAACCAAAGTTTTTTTGGTGTGTTTTTCCTTTGGGAAATGCCTGGGTGGCTCTTCGCTGTCCAATTACTGTCCTGAACGTCTCCTGTTGTAATAGAGGATCCGCTTTTCGCAAAAGCAATAAAGACAAAACACGAAACGCGACAACTTCTGTCTGTCGTTCAAATCGTGGGGCACTAATTTTTCGGGGCGTTCTGATCTTCCAATACGTTTTGAACCATCAAAAACTGCTTGGGAGCTGACGTCTAGTTCTTCCGCCATTCCATGCACCGTTTATGATGGGTCAGTTATGATGGGTCAGTCTCCGTCAGAGTCCTTAAATCCTCGTTCTGTATTACTGTAGGTCGACGACTTATGGTCTCATATTCGAGGCAAAAATCTCCAGAACGGAATTTCGCAAACCAAAGTCGAACAGTGAGTTAATCAACACTATCATTGCCAAATGCCTGGGTGCCGGGATGTTCCGGCAAACAACCAATAAACAACCTCATAAAAAACTCTAAAATCAAAGTATCCAATAACCCCATCAGCTTATAGAAACACTCGCCTTAATCAATATTGCATAACGCGAATAATCTCTACAGCGGGTACACTGACTCTTTGTCGGATTCGAGACAGTTTACGGAAATTTCGAACTTTCTTCTCTTCCGTCCTTGTGAGGTTATGTCATCACCTCGCAGCTGAAGTTCGAGAAGAGAAAGAAGAAAGGTAGACGGCTTGGTCAGTGGGTGCCGGCCGGTTTGTCGGTGTGGAAACTGTGTCGCAATGAACAATAATGTATGAGCATTCTATACATTTCTGTTTCATATATTTTTTTTAATTAATCCAATGGCCACTGACACGGGATCTGTGCTACATTTACATAATTATACAAAATAATTTCTAACGTGTTCGGGTTTTAAATTACATCAGAGTTATTTTAGTTTGAATAATGAGGCAAATATTTTTCTATATCAACAGAAAAATGTATTTTCTCATGTTCAACAGTCCATTAGTCGTGAGATTGAAGGTTAACGACGTGAGCATGTTTTAAATCATTCAAGCAAGTAATGGCCAGCAGAATAGTATAATTTTTCATGACATTTTAGAAATTATTCTGAATGAGATTTAATTGTGAAGGATATCTCAAATCAGACCAATACCAATCAATTTCATAACAAGACGTAAATCTTAGTTAACCAAACTCAGATTTTTACATACATTTGTGAATAGGAGAATACATTTACGACAGGGTGCCAGTCAAAATGTGGCCGCAAATATTTTTAATATGAAAATATGAAATAAAAAAAATTGGAAGTAACGGAGAATTATCTTCAGAATCGGTTTTTCATTGTCAAACATAACTGAAAAAATTCAGGTAAATTTACAGCTAGGTCAAGTGTACCACAAGGATCAATGATTTACCGTCAGTTCTGAAATATATAGATCATCTTTTTTTTGCTGATGATTTTAAACTCTACAAATCAGTCCAAACAGTTCGAGACTTCACATCAGCAATAGGATATTAATAACATTTCAGAATGTAGTTTGAAGAATAAATAAAGGAGTTTCACAAAATCTGCTTCAGAACCATTTCTCAAGCTGTAATCGATCCTTCCAAGTGATGAAGGGTTTCGTAGAGCGATTAACCCGGCTCCACTCAATGAAATATTTCAGTAGCTTGATTTTTTGAGTTTGATTAACTACGCTATGAACGTAGTGATTTTGCTGTGGGATCCTGTACTGATACGTTGATATTTGTTTCGATATTCATTCGAGTATTTTCATGATATAAAACAAAATGGATCAATCACGTATTTGTTAATTTCTACTTGGTTATCACTCTTCAAAGTAATGTCAGACATTTAAAAGAATCTAATTAAAAAAAGTTTTTTCGCAATTATTTATTTTATTTTCAGATGCAGATCATTTCGGAACACGCGGTTTTGTTTACCTGACCAAAATTTGTTTTTCCATCGACTTGACGAATTACATAATGGGATCACGTAAAATGCAAATTCTAACCTAGCAATTCACTTTCTCTCCTCTCGTGTACGTGACACTATCGACGGTTTTTCAAATGCCTTTAACAATGAAGCTAGTTTTTTTTATTTGGCGTCAAGTTCTGAATTATTGTATTGCTAAAATGGACAATGAAAAGTGTCCATTGAAATATCTGAAGTAAAACTAATCGTTTTTAACTCGAAGTTAAGATAAGATAAGTTTTGTTGTGAGATTATTGTTTGAAAATAACTTCCACTTCAATAGAGAATTGAAAACTGCATAAAGTGGAAGATAAATCAGTAAAAGGAAGTAAATGATAGAGGGAAAAAGTAGAAAAAGTCAAAGGTTTTGTTAATTGGAAAATGAATATTGAAAACATTTTCAAAAACAGCCCAAGAAGAAGGGTGATTTACTTCCTTTTCAGTGAAATGAAAATATTCTAAGTATTCGGGAAGTTTCACCGAATAAACACAATGCTAATGACTCACGGTAAAGGCTTAATCACCAAAGAATATGATTATGATCACAATGAAGAAACCAACGAATGAAACATTAAATGATATCCATTGCATTTACGTTTCGTGATACTGAACTGTGATTTATCATCGACAAAAATGTATGCATCATTATTACATTAGCTGAATGAATGAATATATAGAAAAGCAAATTGGCGATATACGTGGCTGTTCAAAACTTCGATTAACGATTTTTTATTTTTTTAAGTTGGTATACTCCTATCGAACATATTTACAGTTTCAGTTGTTCAACATGTTCAGTTTGTTGGTGAGAGATATAAAAGTTTGAAGTGTTTTACATGTTTAGCGATGTTCTGTTATCAAAAAAAGGATCAAAGAATTTGCACCAAATTTTGAGTGCTCAAAAACACCTAAAATGTTGACAGTGGCATATGATGATTGTACTCTGAATCAGAAAAATGAATGACGTCAACGCCGATCCAGATTTACTCAAAAGTGTCATAAGTGGTGACGAATCATTGATATATTGATATGACTTCCAATCCAAAGTCTAATCGTCTTAATGAAAGAGCCCGGACAGCCAAGACCAAAAAGAGCATGCCAAGTCCGATCAAATGTCAAGGTTTCGCTCACTGTTTTCTTTGATTATCGGAATTAGTGCATTAGGAGTTTTTACCACATGGTCCAACAGCCAATAGCAGAAGCAATACGAAGAAAACGTCCGGTATTGCGGTAAAACAATTCATGGCTTTTGCATCATGATAACACATGGCCAAAAACAACACTATAATCATGCCTCAGCCAATGTATTCGCCAGATTCTTCCCTATTACCAAGATTGAAGAGACGGCGTTCTGTGACGATTGTGGAGATAAACACTGAATTGCTGAAAGAGCTCAAGGACATACTAAAAAGTGTATATCAGAACTATTCCGAGGATTGGAAAAAAAGCTGGTAAAAGTGGAAGGGACTACTCTTGAGAAAAATGAAAGTTCATCTTATGTTTCGAACAGAGTAGTGAAGGAGCGAGTTGGTACTTTAGCAGAACAAGTTGAACAGTCGATCACTTAACTTCCACCTGGTTAACCGGCAGCAACTTCAAATATAAAATTATTAAATTCTGTAAAAAAATAGCGAGTGCCTCACAAAACCAGCACATCGAAATTACCGCCAACGATAAAAAATTAAGGTAATATGTGACTGGTTTGTGTATTTAATCTTCCACAATCACGCACAATTACGCAACTGAAATTTTATTAGCGATTCAAATACTTTACAACTCTATTATCCTTCACGGAATCAATAGTTATCTCCCAGAAAGGATCGAATTGATATCAGTATTCAATCAGCTGATTTATTGTGGAATTGGCCGCGGTGGTAGTGCGCCCATCTCACGATCGGAAGATCGTGGGTTTGATTCCTGCCTTGACCAGATATTTTTCTCGAGAGAATTTATCTGGTTGAAGCGGGGATGATTCTGCAACCGTGTTAGGAATCACACGTTAAAAGGTAAGACCTCGTTAGTCCTTAGCTCGCACAAGTTTCTCAACTTCTGAGAGTTGTCGTTCGTATGGGGGCGACAACTGATTAACGGAAAAACAGATTTTTTTTTAAAGATTCATCGTATGATTCAACATTTCTGTTTGATTCCTAGCTACACGTAGTGCATACCTTACGCTTCTCCATTGCAAAACAAACAATGTTGGATTAGTAATTGGAAACTACCCCGAAAATTATGTGAATATTTCCGGCAATGCCTATATTGATGCTTCGTAATTTTTGTAGCACTGATAAATATCTACTTCTGTTTATTCTCTTCAAGAGTAGGCTGGATGACACAGACCTCTATATGATTCAGTCACAAATCGTAGTGATTACGTAACCAATAAGTTAGAAACAAGTTTTGAGTCTGAAATAGAAGATCTTTTGAAAGCTTATCATGAGAATAACGTTGAAAGTACAGCCGTCTTCAATTCTTGCACGAGTTGAATTTTGTATACTATCAAACGAAGATCCTTATTAAGTCAAGTTGTTACATACTACTTAAAGCAAACTTTCGAGAACAGCTCAAACGAGAAATCTAGCCCGTACCATGTACTCTCGGCTACTGACGCTATATTTTCTTAACTACATGCATACTCACGAAAAACAATGTTTATTTTTTGTAATACAGATCAATTATTCAGAGACAAGATATCAGGCCCTTCATTATTGTATATTTTGAAGTCGAGAAAGTTAGAACTAGAACATCTGGTGTAAAATGAATCCAAAATAAGCACTGCTCTCAAATATCCTAACTGCAAACTCTTTCCGACTCTCATTTCACCCAACCACGTTGGCGTCCTCAGGAGATGAAGTAGACAGTTAGAGAAGTGAAATTCTGGTGTTTGAAGGCAGTAACTCGTTTTTGAGCTATGAACTTGTAAAAATATTTGTATATTCGTAGATATTTTCTAGACTCATTTACATCTCTCTACTTTCAGAAGACAGATGCTTCCTTTATCGCTGGTTTTGTAGCGGTGGAGTGGATCCCACCGACATGGACAATCCGCAAGACAATAAAGAACACGGAATGATGGTATTTTTCCGGGACTATCTTGGAGCTGTGCTCAACAACGGTTGTGTCAAGTTCATCGTCATTATTGTCTTCGCAGTTTACTTACTTGGAGCAGGCTATGGCATTACTCAAATAGAAGAAGGCTTAGAGAGAAGAAAAGTGGCCAAAAATGATTCTTATGCCATCGAGTTTTTCGACAGAGAAGATGATTATTACAGAGAGTTTCCCTACAGGTAGGAACATTGAATATACATAAATAACTCTCAGGATACAGACTGCAGACAGACTGCAATGAAGCTTCTAGACATTCAAGTCCAAGAGACATAAACGAACTAGAAGCATATCACTTTATGTTTTTGTTGATGCATGGTAATCGTCTGACATTTCTTATGAATTTCTTGAAAATATTGTAGCCTTATACTTGCATTGAACTCATTTCATCTTTTTCCCTTCACTAGTGTTGGAAATATTAGTAAGGATTTACGGTTTCTGGTTCTGGGTGTGTAGAAATGTTCGATGGACTTCAATTCACCTTCATTATATAAAAAACACAAGAATATAACACATTGACAATTACAAAAAACAATATCCATGAAATTTCTCTACAATGTTTCATAACTGATATTGCTCTTTCAAATTTCTACATGGTGAGCCAAAATAAATAAATTGCAACACTAGTTTGTACAGGTGTCATTAAAATGGCCCAAGCCCTGAAAATATTCTTAGCCGATTTTTGCTATGTTGAAACGTTTTCTCGATTCTTTTTTTTCAAACAGTCTTTTCATGAACCGCGTGCTCTTCCTGGGATATTGCCCTAAAACTCTTCTTCTTTTTTTGTATCAACCAATTTCCTGATGTGGCCCCATACCTTTCAGATGGTTCAGGGATGATATATGTAGACAATGGTCTCGGTTCTGTTCTAAACACATTTCAGTTTCTCAGTATCTTGGCACCAAGTAGAGAAATAATTCATTGTCGGTTCACCAATACGTCGTTTCAGTTAGGAACATTACTCCACTCATTTTGATAACTTCAGGTATCGTCCCTGGCTCTTTCGTGGATTGGGTAAACTCACGACCGTCAGGAGGATCATATACTTATAAGTAGTAATGTAGATTTCTATCACACAATGTATTCTAGCTTAGATATGACTACCTACCAGATCAAAAATGTATATTTTACTCACCCATGTTCGATTTCAGCTCCGTTTAAGCACCACAGGTGTTTGTGTTTGGCCTGAATCAGGGCTACACTAGTACTTCTTCTATTGTTCATTCTATATGATGGTTCCATGTCAACCCAGGTATCCAATGTAACTCTCATACATTCAACCTCCCTCGTCAACAATATATCTTCACTCGAAGTCTTGAAATGTTTCAGATTCCCTATCTTGATCCTTCCGGTGAATGCTAAGACTGTGGTTGATTTGCATGTTCTGTTATTTTTATTTGATCCTCTATGTTCTGCTTTTTCGCGACCCGACGTTGTTCTGTTTTCATTGATATATCTGCCCTGTATGACATATTTTCCCCGTAGTCATTGATTTGTCCCTGATGTAGTAGTTTTTCTAGTTTGATCAATTAAGTTGAATCCAGTACGGTGCAGCCATTAACTGCCGACATCACTTCCTCTTCGAGAATAGTCCGAGAATAGTCCGAGGGAGCTAAATCTGGTGAATATGGTGTATGAGGTAGCAATTCAAACTTTAATTCGTTAATTATGAGCTGATGCAATGTCTTGATGAAACAACACTTTTTACTCAGCCAAATATGACCGTTTTTGCTTGATTTTTCACTAAACCGTTGCAGTAAGTTTGTACGATACTCGTTGTTGATAGTTTTACTTTTTTTAAGATAGTCAATGAAAATTATCCCACGTGCATCCCAAAAAACCGATGCCATGACGTTGCCTGCAGATGACATGGTCTTCGCCTTCATTAGAGCCTGTTTTTCCTTTTGAGTACCCTTTTTTCATTGTTTTTTGTCTCGGGTGTGAAGTGATGGATCCATGTTTCATCCATGATTATGAAACGACGCAAGAATTCTGCTTTGTTACTGTGAAACTCCGCTAAACACTCAATTGAAATGTCTTCACGACACTGTTTTTGATCGAGTGTGAGCAAACGCGGCACCCATCTTGCACACAGCTTCCTCATGTTCAACTTTTCAGGTGATATAATATAATGTACTCCACTTTTTGAAACGCCTACCAAGTCTGCTAACTCGCACGATCATTCAGTATCGCTTTCTGGATTTTCTTCACCGTTTCTGGTGACGTCACCTCATTTGGTCGACCACTGCGATGCTCGTGTTGGCGGCTCGTACGGCCTCTACCCAATATATCACTGTTGTAAACGAAGGAGCAGACCCACCCAAAGTATACTTCAGTTCAGCTTTTATATTGGTTGAGCTGAGACCTTTCAAATGAAAGTATTGTACCACATAACGATGACCAATTTTCTCGATTTTCACAAATTCACCAAAAACGTTCGCTATTAATGGCTGCCAAACAAATACTAAACAGCGCAGCGTCTTCAAACTCGAAACATTGTGTAGTTTCTAATACAGTGATATTCTTCAAACAACTACCGTTATCTCTAAGTCAGGTCAGTTACTTCTGTGACCACCCTAGTATTCAACCAAGCTTTCTCAAAATCATAATCGTTCTGAGAATAGGAAGGGGAATTATCGTTCAATTAGTATTAAATTGTTTTCGATGAATATTTTAAACATTGATTCGAAACGTACCTGCCCAATTTATTTGATTGATTTCTAATTCGGAAGTCACAACGAAAAATTATTCAAATCAATTCAATTATTTGGTACCACAAAGGACCCAAAAAATTGCACAGTAAATTAGCGCACCAGTTTCGAAATTGATAGTGGACGCGAGAAAAACTTGAATGAATATCTGACATACATAAAAACATAAGTAAATTCATTTTTATTACATTTCCAGAGTGCAGGTGATAGTTTCTGGTCAGTACGATTATTCAGATCCAAATATTCAGCGACAGGTCGAAGAACTCACTAGAACTTTTGAAAATACATCTTACATATCAGACACATTATACACTGAATCATGGTTGCGCAGTTTTATTGAATATACTGAGAGAAATCGTGATTACCTGAACCTCACAGTAGATAACAAAAAAGGATTCACCGATGCACTAAAAGAGGTAAGATAAATCATCACTATACTATAAAGAGTACCACAAGGAACAATTTTGGGATCAAAAATCTAACGAATAGTCCTTTGCAGTATTGGTTAGCGCCGAGCAGTTCGTTCTCCTTAGACGTGAAGTTTGACGATACAGGGGAAAATATCATTGCCATGCGATTCCTTATTCAGGCGGTCAATATATCCGGAACCGAACACGAGAAAGAGATGGTGAGAGCTATAAGAAAAATATGCAGAGACTCGCCGCTGAATGTTACCGTGTTCAACCCATATTTCGTTTTTTTCGACCAGGTGAGTAATAGAAAACAGAAGTAAAACTAGTAACTTTTCAAGTATATAAATAAGATTCCCTTATCCTTTTTTTTGTATCAAGATGGAGTAGTAGAAATAGTGTTTGAAAGTTTGAAGTTAGTGAAAGGAAACAGGTTAACTTTTGTAAAACCAGCTTGTTATGAAACTCGTCAAAATGGAAAACAATAGTATCTGTTCATTTCTGCCTACAGAGATTAACAACCAACTATTCCAACAAGGTCACTTAGAATTTTATGGTTACGCTACCGGCAGTGGCGCAAAAATCCCAGTGCTGACAACCGAACTAGGTTTGTTAATGCTCGCAACATCTGCAAACGTAGAATGAATGAATGCAAAGAACTTCACAATCAAAGGATTAGGGACAAACTTCTTGCCAATCCCAACGGGTCTAGATCCTTCTAGTCGGTAGCTAAAGCTGGTGATCAAAACGTTACAAAATCCACAATTCTACCACTAATACGAAATATTGATTCAATTGCAACATCAACCATAGATAAAGCAAATCCACTAGCTGAACAATTTTCATCCCACTACACAGTCGATTTTCTGGGAAAGGCACCACTCACTATTCGCATACTAGTATCCACAATGCCAGAAATTACTTTACGACAACGTATAGTCAAGCGAATTTTGAAACAGCTCAATATCAATAAGGCGTTTGGTCTCAATGAAGTGCCCGTCATCGTACTTGAAAAGTGCGCAAATGAACTCTCACCAGTATTTTGCAGACTCTTCAACCTGTCTTACAAGAAAGGTTTTTTGTCTTCTTGTTGGAAGGCTGCTTGCGTTCAGCCTATCCGAAAAAGGGCAAGAAAAATCTTCCAAACTATCCTTAAATATTTGGAAGGCATCTTGAGCAATCATCAATGTGAACAAAGATGAACGGGCGACCTTCTATTGTATGTTACCCATATTTGGAATAACGCAACCGAGAAACATGGAGTGTTACGCCTGATATTTCTAAGACCTTCGAGCGTAAGTGGCATGAGGGTTTGCTGGCCAAACTTCGATGCTATGGTTTGTCGGATCATTTTTGTGTATGGCTCTCCAGCTTCCTGAAAGAACGTTTCCTTCAAGTGGCCGTCGATGGATAACTCTCGAATACTTTTACCATCAATGCTGGTGTTCAGGGATTCATATTGTCTCCAACTCTCTTTCTCGACTCATTGGAAAACCCAAGAATCCAATATATTGCTTTCCTGACGACAACAAAATTGTCTCTTTATTTCATTTGGATTCCAGGATATTGGCTACGGATGTACATCTTCAGCGGCAGAAGGAGGTTGCATATCTTAATGAGGATCTAGAAGTGATTTTGAATTGGGAAGAAAGTAACCAGGTTCAATTTAATGCTACAAAAACCCAGTCATCAGTTTTCTCCAAGAAAATAAATGTTTCCGATCCGGATATAAGAATGTCAGAACAGGCAATTCCGTTTGTTGGGGGTTAAAATGGACACCAATATGTTTTGGCACAACCATGTAGCTGCAATTGCAAAGGCTTCTTCTGAAAAGCTTGGAAAACTGTTCTGAACTAGAAAACTGTACACACCTCAGAAGAGAAACATCCGCCTGATTGATAGTCTGAAACATCGAAGAAAGGTTGGAGACTTGTCTCTCTTCTATGGATACTTTCACGGAAAGTGTTCAAGTGACTTGGCACATTTGATTCCACCAAGAGCGGTACATATCATCGGTATTGCGTTTACGTGGAATAAACTTCCTGAAAACGTTTTTGCAAATGGATTTAATCTCCAGCGATTCAAATCCAATGTGAATCGCTACTTTCGCATAGGCACCGCTCTTAGAGCGCCTCGAGGATTTTCCTGTAGTGCTTGTATTCTGTCCTTGAGAAAACCTAACTCTACCAATAGTAATTCCAATCTTATCAATACCTGGAGAATACTATTGACACAGAATTATTTGGGAGACGTGCATTCGTGAATGAATAAAATTGAAAATGATGTGAAAGTATTATATATTCCTGAATTTAATTCATTTTTTGCAGTTCGAATTGGTTCGACCTCTATCTATCCAGAATATGGTGATTGGTGCTGGAATAATGATGTTAGTGTCTTTCATCTTCATTCCCAATATTTTGTGCTCCTTATGGGTAGCGCTCAGTATAATTTCTATAGAAGCAGGAGTCGTAGGATATATGGCTCTATGGAAAGTGAACCTGGATTCTATTTCCATGATCAATCTTATTATGTGTATAGGTACGTTTGGCAAAAAAAAATTATTCAATATCTGGATATTTCAGTGAAAAAAATTAAAATCTTACATTTCGTTCATATTTTTCAGGATTCAGTGTCGACTTTACGGCCCATATTTGCTATGCTTATATGTCATCAAAAGCCAAAACTCCGAAAGAAAAAGTGAAGGAATCTCTCTACGCACTAGGACTTCCCATTTTCCAAGGATCTGTGAGCACTATTTTGGGAATGCTTGCTCTGCACCTAGCCAACAATTATATTTTCTCAGTTTTTTTCAAAATGGTGTTCCTAGTGGTCTTTTTCGGTGCGATGCATGGATTATTTTTGCTTCCCGTGTTACTGTCCTTGTTTGGACCAGGTAATCATCAATTTTTTATTACTCAAAGAATACGAATGTAAAAAATCATAAAATTCAGAATATTATAGTCCAAATAATATAAAGTTGGAATTTGAAATTTCGTTTGTCTGCATTGACACTGTTTGCAATTTTAAACACAAGAGAAATAATTTTTATCAAATATCAAATGTTTCTGAAACTTTCTTTTTTCACGATTGGACTCATGTTGATTGGTTCTTCGAAAGCATCTTTGATGATTTCACTAGAAAATCGAGCAGCATATTTTTATGACCTCAAAGTCAAAACAGAACTTGAAAAATCTGATTTAAATAGCTGAAGTTTTTCATAATAGCAATTCAAAAAAACATCAAGAGAAATATAAAAAATCTGTTAAACATTTGTTTTCTGTTTACTGGCAAACGCTGTCTTTCGAACGACAACTCTCAGAAATCGAGACTTATGCGAGCTAAGGATCAAGGAGGTCTAACTTCACAAAGCAATATTCCCGCATTAGAAATCGATCATATGTACGTCGGCTCGAACCAACGTTCCTTATAGAGGTCGACTGAATCAGTATAACAAACTACCGTGCCAACCCGGCTAGTGTCCTGTTGACTTTGGAGCTATTAATATTTCTTATAATAGAAAATTCATCAAATGAATCTGATGGGATGAACAAGACATAGATAGATAGAGAGATAGATAGATATTGGCTATTTCACACAGTGGTTTATAGCACGTCACATAGTACACAAAATATTGAGAGACAATGTAAAAATGTAAAAACAATCAGGTCATTCACAAAAACATTTTATTTTTTTTTATTACATTGTTGTTCCTTAATTCCTTAATTTTTTATACAAGAGTTGATGAATTATTATAATTTTTTGCTGAAAAGTCAATGTTTTTATTGATAATATTAGTCGTACGTCTTTGTCGCGTATTATCAAGTATGTCAATAGGCTGCATTGTCATATATTTTTTGAGCAACAAACATACCTATATTCAGCTTCTAAGATTAATAAACTGATACCAGTTTGAATACGCTATATCATGAGAGACAAGTTTTTGTTAGAGATTCCCACGTCTTGCATGAATCTAGATTCGTTTCACAAGGATTACCACAGGGGTCGGTGATGAGCCCCATTCTACTCAACGTGTATACAGCCAAAAAATCATGTATCACATTTTTCTCCAGACTTCCCCTCTCTACTACAAATACAATAAGATCATGTGGTATCAATATACCAGTGAAGCACGAGCATAAGTATCCAGGTATGGTTCTGGTCAGAAAACTTACCTGGACGTCTCATATTAAGCATGTGCAAAAAAAATGTGAATAAGGCATGAACATGTTAAGAGGTGTAGCAAACACTATGCAAGGTGAAAATCCAAAAATATCACTAATATTTTATAGGGCCTATATACGCTCAGGCACTCTTTCAGCAAGATTATTTATTGCTAGAAATAATTTTATTGAAAAAATACATTAATTCAATGATTTCTTTAGGTGAGAAATTTTGATTAAGTATCAATGGATTCAATTTGGGTTCGCAAAATGAATTCATTAGTTTATAAGTAAGTGTTGTTCGGTATCGGAAAAAAAGATTGATAGTTCATTCTGAATCATATCAATATTGAATCCAGCGCCCGAATATGAATGTGTCAAAAACATTTGAAAAATTCAGTCACATTTTATTTTGTTTATAGGATCGTGTTCGAGATCCACTGATGATTCCGATATGAAACTATCCACCATAGAAGAATCACTACCTTCTCCGTACTGCATACCACATCCCCAGTTTACTCTAAATGGTAGCAATTTAGGAGCTTTGAAAGGATCTAACATACCAAGTATAGAGAGGTAAGAGTTATCATCTGCGAATATACATATACATAAAAACGAAGAAATCACAAGGCATCGATAATATCAGAGCAAAAACTATCGAACTGTTTTCTAAGTACATTTCAAGCCAATTATCGTATATTATCAATTGGTCATTTACAGTTTCAAAAACAGCTATACTTACACTCAGCTATACTTATACTTTTCATCAGACGGGTTCACAGACAAGGTCTGTAGTCTGTCGGTAGAGAATTTCACAAACAACTATTGGAGAATAAAAAATAGTCCACCTTTTGCAGAGGCCTTTATAGAGATGAAATCTATCGGAGCCTTGCCAACAACCGATAATTTTCTTCTTTATTACCTTAACTTACAAAAAATAATACTCAAGCTTATTGTCATAATTCCCCAATATTCGGAAATTCCTAGCGTGAATAATAACCTCATCAAAACTTTGTTGAGTTATCACAAGCCTAATGTAGAAATTATATACACTGATGGCTCTGAAACTGAGTTAGGTACTGGATGTGCTTTTCACGTATCAACCACCAAAGTGGCTCACAAAGTTCGAATATATAATGATGCATCTATTTACTCAGCTGAGGTTTACACGATACAAAGGGCATTACTGTGGATAACGAGCAACAAGTTGGGCGAATCAATTATCGTGTCAGACTCTAAATCGGCACTAGATTCTATCAGTCATCCAATAATGAAAAATATGATAATGTATTGCTTTGCAACATCAGAAGACATTTACATTCTATTATTTCTTCTTCAGGTAGAGTTAGATTTATATATAACTTTATTCCACTGCGCACTACGCACTGTCAATTAGACTTCTCCCGATATGCGAGTGGGTAGTGTTTATATATGCCAATGGAAGTCTTAGGAGGCCAATATAATTATTCTCGAAGGGACTCGACACCTAGAACGATCCAGAAACACACTTAGAGATGAGCGCGACCTTGGCCAAGTCACAGTCGATTGACAAAGACCAGCGGCGGCCTGCGTTATTTTTTTCAGGGGATGATTTGCAACATTATAATCCATAAAACATTTTTATTTCACACCAGTCACCCATTTAAATGGTATTCAATGATAATGTGTTAACTATTATGTTGAATATCATGTTTATGTTGAATAAACAGTTCATTTGGACCATTTTTCTTAGTGTTAAATAATTTTTTTAGGCAAAGACAGAGGATACCGGAGGCGAAAAATACACGAATGTACGAGCAGAAAAGACCAGAACAAGTACGTTCTCGATACGAGACGAAAACAAAGCATTCACCAACTGAAACGAGGTACCATCCCAGAGAGCAAATTGCTAGATCCAACTCTTATCATAATATAATACATCCTAGGTATGTGAAGGATCCAAAATTCATAAAGGAATCTAGATTTCCTTAGGACATCAGTGTAATTTTCAATTAACTAATGAGTGATTTTCATGGTGTTATTGTTGTTTTTATGGATTTCATAGTAGGAATGTTTTAATGTGACCTGTTCAAGTCCAAAGGGAATAGAAATATGACTAGTGGCGAATTACGTAAATAAAAAAAAATTGACACTTGTTTCAGTTCTAGGATGATGTAAGTCGAGTAATATCAAATATAATGAAAATATATAATTTTCTTCGGAGAAATACGATATTTAGAAAAATTCCTGAATGATTTTATCCGTATTTGGAATTTCTGAAAAAAAAATCTCCCTATCTATACTAATGTATGAGAGGGAGAAATAGTTACGATGGTTTGAAAAAATTGTTGTATTGAATATTTCAAAAATGGAAAAAATGCCTTATTTCTGTTTATATATTTATATGTAAAGTTTTATATAAATAAAATGAAATGGTTGTTATGATTCTGTCGATTGATATGATTTTGACTGATGTAGACACTAGCAATAGTAGACAGGATAGTTTTTCTCTTGTAATGATCGTTTCCTCATAAAAGGGAGAGAGTACCTTTGTTTATCATGCTACATTGCTCAAGTAGATAGTATGATTGTACAGTAAATGATAATTTTGTAAAATATTTTTACATTCATGAAAATAAATATGTATTTATGAAAAAATGTTTTTCTTTCTAAGTTTTTATATTTCAGTTAGCATACCACACTTTTACATCAGTGCTACACACGATACATATTGTTAGTGTGGAAGTTGTAATAGTAACTACTTCACATCACAAGATTATTATTATGGTGAAAGTAGTTATAGTTACAGTTGCAAAACATATTTGGTGGAGTAAATGGTTCTTGCTGTTTTTCTTGGTGTAAAATCTTTCACAAACCGAAAAATAAACAGAGCTCAATCAATAGAGAATCAGTTGAAGTGTGATGAATGGTAAACTGAAAAATTGACCCCATCAAGTTACTGCGTAATATAAACCAGTGAAGGGTCTATTTAGTCAGTGACTTGTCATACCAAAAATGTTGCCTACAAATTGAATAAACCATGGAAAATATTTATATAGAAGACTAATGTTTTAGAAAACCAACCTACTTGTAAAAACATCCAGAAGAAATTGGATTTATTTCATTCGAAAAACGTCAAAAAAATGAAATTTCCAGATTGTGGAAAATCAACTACCTGAAAAAATGCCAAAAACGGTTTCTTATAACTTTGAACTTTTGTTTCTCGTAGATATATTTGAAAAAATTAAAAGTTATTGCTTCTGGCCTTGTCTGAAAATGTTGAAATAGTATTTTTGAAATTTAGCAAATCAGAACGAAAACTAATATAGATAAAAAACCAAAATATCACCCAGCTGAAACCCTTATAAATTACTATGTCATTGAGTAAATGTACAGGTGAACCAGACTACAAGACTTCCGTCCTTACTCACTCGGGCCTTTAGGCACAGTTGACCCCAGCTATACATTCGTGATTCAGCCCAGCACCACTGATGAGACCTAGGGAGGGTCGAAACACCGCTGTCTGGTATTGCATCATAAATGCTTGTATTTGGGCTCTAGTTTACAACCACTTGCCTTGGCATAAAACGAATCTCCAGTTTAAAGTAGAAATTATGAAAATTAACTGGAAAATGAAATTTCGGGTTTGAAGCCTCAATTTCGAGATTACAGTCGAAATTTCAAGTATTGAAATCGTAATTTGAAATGATGAAAAAATGTGGCCCATCTGCGCTTTCGCACTCAAATGATAAATATTTTTCCAATTTTCTCAAAATATTCAAATGATATTTTAAAATATTTCTCGTTAAAGACGTTTACAGAACTCTGTCTAGCAGAAAAATGGTCGCTTCTTTATTCACACTTTAACTTCGCCTAGTTCTGCTATTGTCTCACAGATGGCGCAGAAATGTATATTTTTCATTTATTTGTAGTATATTTTTCTGTCAAGATTATCTTTAGTCGATCTTTTTTTTTGTTGAGTGAAAATTAGCCATGTAACGTTGCAGAATCATCCCAGCTTCAACTTAATAAATTATTGTCAGTATTATTTAAAATAATATAATACTGAATAACAGAAAGACTTTGGTGTAGGAATCGGCAATCAAAGAACACGTTGGACTTCTCCACAAAGTATGTTGTATGTCAAAGATCGGAAAAATAGTTCAAGAAAGAAAAAAATTTCTTAATTCTCAGAACCCAGGAAATGAAAACAAAACAGAAATATCATTGAAAGGTTATCACTGTAGCATTGATGTTTTTGGATATAACTTCATAAGTTATTGTTTTTCCTAAATTTACTTACTTATTTACTTTTTGTATGGCAGAGCTAAGACGGTTTGAATTCAGTCCATGATCTGAAATGACTATTATTATCAAAATTTCGGAGGAAAACGCATATCCAGAATATTTTGCAGAAAGAGGTTTTGATGAAATCGGTAGAAACAGTAACCAACATATACAGATTCCACAATCATTATAAACCCAACAACAACACAATTACCTCACGGTTTGTCTGAAAAATTGAGACGAACCTGTTGTGAATGCAAATCGGTCAGGCCATTCTCACCTCCCTACACTGTAGGTTGATAAACTGATACCTATCAGAAAACAACTACTCCCCTGACTAATACCACGAAGGGCGTTGGATTATATCCGACAGGTGTCAGTGCAGGATTCTTCACTGAAGTTATTCCTGCATATGCTGCTGGCGCTTCAACTGCCGCACTAGATTTAGAAATTATTGGAACACACTTGCAGACCGGTTTTGGGCTGTTTGGCCATTCGTCAGTGCAAGGTAGTGTCTCTCGTCAACATAAAGTCAATGATTTCCGATAATTGAAAATCGAATTCGTTCAGAGTATCATTCCTCGAACTAGGCTGAAGCGGACAATAAACAACAGGTTTATCATCGCCCCATCTGCCTGTGAACCACTTAAGAAAGACCACTTCTGACACCAAGAAAAGAGAATATTAGCACATAAAAAACAAAAATTCTATCAAAATAGAAAAGAGTAAAAGACCTGCGGCCTTCAAATGAACGGGAAAATGTGTATTACAGAAAGGGAAAAGTTTGGGAGAGAGGTAAAATAAAGGGAATTCATTCATCTTCTAGGGCCTACGTGGTAAATACAGATGACGGTCAACTTTTGAGAAACAGAAAATTCTTTAGGTCAGAACCAACTATTAATAACAGTCCAGATAATCAGCCATCGATTAAAAACACACTTAATGAAAATAAAATAGAGTTGGAAACACATTCGCCTTCATCTTCTATTTCACCCATCCCTAGAAAATCTAATAGAATTATTAGAGTACCATCAAAATTCAAAGACTTCGAATTATATAAGTAATTGAACTTGAATGGAGAGATGTTATATATTATATTACCATACTTTTGATGACAATGAGATATAAGTATTAGGAATAGGAACTGTCATGTTTGTTGTTAGTTACAAAAGTACGTTGTTGAATCATTAGGTCTTGAAGTGAATATTTCCTTTATATATTATACTTTCAAGAAAATCAAAAATATAACACCAATATTTAATTTTTTCAATTGATTTTTTTCAATTTGTAAGCAAAGTTTATCAAAATCTACGACAAGTTACTGAGTAATTGGACTTTCCAGTAGTTTATATTACGCAGTAACTTTTCGGGTGTCCTTCACAACACTTCAGCAGATCTCTATTGATTTATCTTTTATTTGTTCAGATTGAGGAAGGTTATGAACCCCAAATAAACAGTATGAAATATTTAGTCCTCCACAAAAAAATGTCGTTTAAGGAGTATCTCAATTAGTTCTTAATACTGTGCATAAAACTACAGTAGAATCAGCGAAAATTCTTCTACCACCATTTCACATCAAGTTAGTGAAACAGTTTATGCAAACCTTGCCAACAGATAGCGAATGTTTCAAATATTTACGTAAAAAATCCCCTATCAGCAGAAACCAAACTTCAAAGTGAAGGTTACAAAATGGGGATTTACATATTATTCAATGAAGTTATTCATGAACGTACCTGGGGCGCTATTCTTGAGATCCTTCGCAACTACGATCGTTCGCAACACTGCGAAGGGTCTACTTGCGAAGACTTAATGGAAATGCTATTCTTGACTACCCTTCGCAAAGTGTAAGAAACGTAATCATTCGCACATTATTAT